ATATATATATATATATATACATATATATATATATATATATATATATATATATATATATATATATATATATATATATACATATATATACATAATAATAATAAATAAATAATATAATATATATATATATATATATATATATATATATATATATATATATATATATATATATATATATATATATATATATATATATATATATATATATATATATATATATATAAATAAATAAATATATATATATATATATATATATATATATATATATATATATATATATATATATATATATATATATACATACATATATGTAATCAATTGTCGGTTCACATATTCCACATGTGTTAAATGCATTTCTACATTCATGAATTATAATTCAGTGAACTTATACAATCAGTCTTTACATAACTTTTGACGATAAGATTTTCTTTTTTTTATATATGATGTTGCTCTCTTATCTCAAATGAGTTATCATTTCCTCAATCTTTACAAGTGGCAGACCTCTTGCAGTGAAAAGGGGATAAATATAGCACATCTCCCCCTCTCTCTCTTTGTGTCTGCATCTGATATATATATATATATATATATATATATATATATATATATATATATATATATATATATATATATATATAAACACACACACACATACATACATCATGTATGCATATGTACAACCTCTTAACTATATATTTATCCTTATCCCTTTTATCTGTAAAAATGGTTCAGCGTATTTTCTTATGCGAAAGATTTGGTAGATAATCAAACAATCAAACACAGCAGATCAGTCCTTGAAAATCGCACAAGACAAAATTCATTAAAATTCTCATATCCGTACGACTCAGGTGCGCGCTGTTACTATGGCCAACCGATAACTGCATAACACATTTACTATCTACGTTTATAGTCTACTGCTCTCTGCTGTCTACTACTACTATTACTACTTACTGCTGCTAATACTATCCATTACTATTACTATATACTGCCACTATCTACTATCGGTGTCAGATATCGTGATTTTCTTATGTAAAAGATTTGGTACATAATCAAACAATCAAACATAATACTGAGTGAATGTTCTAGTATTTTGACAATCAATATCTCGTTTCTTGGCATCTATCACTTTTAACGATTATTGGTTTTCATCAATGTGGTATTTATTGCATTCAGTATCTGCATGTGTTTGTTTTTCACAGGTCAGTATAGGATTGCATAAGTTCACAATTACTGGGGTTACAGATCTTAAGAAGAACGGGGATTTGAAATATTGTATTTATAGTACAAATCAGAGAATTAACATTAATTGTCCAGTACTAGATATCTGGACATGATCTATATAAACAGATGATTGTATTATGCCTTTGTCGAGTGGAATGTAAACATGTTTTGGTGCATTTCTCGGTAAGCATTTGCAAGAATTTTCCTGTTAAACTTCATCCTTTCGGGAATGCATTTCCTAGTGAAATCACCTATCTATAAAGATCTATTCATTCTATATATTTCATTGCTTACAAGACAATAAAACAAAAAATATCCACAGCTAAACAGACTTCGATATGCGTCATGACCTATATAGTGAAAGCATACGTACTATACATGAACTGCGCATGTTGCATCAGCCATCAACACAAAGGCCAGATAACGGACCCTGTATATTGCACTTTTCCACTTTAATAACCATCAATTAACATGGTTGGGCTAGAGTCTGGCCGGTGAAAGTGGGGATTTAGAGTGATTTGGCGAATTTGTTGCAAATATCTTGCATATTTTAACGAATTTGTTGAATTTCATCGGAAGTGTCGCGTTGGCAATGACGTCAATACTTTCGTAAGAACCGGGTCAAGCTGCCATTTCTCGCGAGAAAATACAACTAGAAATCCTTTCCTAGTCTCTTTTAATAAAAAATATCCCTTCTAACTTTACATATATATAGACAGTAATAGAGCGTATATCTGAAAATAGTGCAAAATCCTAATTATTATTAAAAATCTATTTAAAAAAACGAAAATAATTATCCCGCCAGGTACCTCCCCAGCCGACCAATGAGCGAGCCCCACACCAGCGCTCCGCCAGACCCCGCCCCTCAGTCGCACACTAGACACAGAAGCAGGAACACGTAAGATGTAAGAAGCTCCCGAGCCCCCACGCCACTCGCACCATCCCACCTCGATCTCGACCTCGACGATCTTGGAAGCGGCTTCACCACCGCCTCGAGAGAAGAGACCAGAGAGCGACGAGACCCGCGCAACCCCCAGCACCATGGCCAAGGCGATCGTGATCACCCTCCCGAAGGGCCTGGGCGACGGAAGCAAAATGGCGGCTCCGGCGCTGGCCACGGCCTCCATCGCCTCCAGGCAGCTGGGCTCCCTCCTCGCCGCCGGGAACTTCGGGAATCTCGTCCACATCATCAAGGACGAGCCGCAGCAGGGGTTCCACACGCAGGGATTCCTGGAGGAGGAGGTGGCGGCGGGCGGGGCCTCGAGCGAGGACAAGCCCCCCGCCAGGAAGAGGCAGAGACTCGACCACCTCAGCATGGAGGAGAAAATCATGAGGAGGTGAGGAAACGAAGGAATAAGGAGCAGGAAGAAAGGTGGAATAAAGGAAAGAGAGAGAGAGATGGATAGTGGATAGTGTTTTCTCGCGTTGTGAAGGAGGAATTGAGGGAGAAGACGTATTGATTTTGTGCATGACAGGTCCTCTCTCGCTATGTTCAGGAATCCGTCTTTTCCCACCCTTATTTCGTCTCATTTATGCGGTCTCGTTAGTGATACACAGTTCTCCGGAAAAGAATTTGAATATTCTTAGTTTTTTTGCGAAAAATAATGGTGCTTTTGACGAAACATATGTTCAGGTTGTGCATGACGTCATCGGGTGGGCGTCGCGAAGTTGCTAGAAGTGTCGGAGTTTTTAGATATATTTTATTATTTTATTTATTCATTCATATATTTGTTATTATCATTTTTCTTTTTTTTTGGGGGGGGGGGTAATTTTTTTAGATATTTTATATTATATTTATTCTTTTTTTTTGGGGGGAGGGTGTCAGACGATAGATTTTGGGTCTTAATAATTAAAATGTACCGATATGTTTCCCACATTGGCATTTGGAAATGCAATCGATTTGATATTTTGCCATGGCTCGGAATTTTCCTAGTTTTTCTTCAGGGAAGTCCCATGTACTACTTTTTATTTATTCATGTATATATGTACTATTTATATTATTTGAAAATGAAAAAAAAATCACTTGTAATGGTCTAAAACATGTGCCTAAGGTAAATTGTACTGTTGCTGTCTTGAATTATTGCAATATATTCCTGTTTTGAAGGGAGAGTACTTGAGTTTTCGGGAAAAGGAGAGCATGGAGAATCAATCATTAGTGGACTCTAAAACAAGTGCATAGCATTGATTGATTGATTAGAGGAGCAAACTTCTGCTATACTTATTAATTTGTTTATGATCAATACATTACTTATCTAAGACAGAGTAGAGCAGTAGAGCAATAGATGAAGGCATAAATGTTTTGCATTTCATGATAATTGATAGTGTATATCGCTGTCATGTTAATTTAGAATTTGCTTTAAGTAACCTGTGAAAATGTTTACTTATGTGGCAATTTTCTCTTTCAGAAAATTAAAGAATAGAGTTGCCGCACAGACAGCGCGTGACAGGAAGAAGCAGAGAATGGATCAGCTTGAAGCACAGATTGATGAACTACGGGACCTAACAGCTGTTTTATCTGAAGAGAACACTAGTCTTGCAGAAGAAAATGCAGCACTGAAGGAGATGCTGGCAAAATGTACATGTGGACAGGGCAGCACAGAGAGCAACGTCAACGAAGCCATGAACATCAGCTGCGACGACACACACAATGCAGCAGTTGTCGTTGAGGAAGTCACGATCCCTGTCAACAACCCCGCTGGTGGATCAGCAGTATCCCAACCTCAGCAGAAGGCAGTGGGGATGTTGGCAGTGCTCCGGATCATGGTTCTCTCAACACTCTGCTCACAGTGGGTCAATACAGCTGCCTTGGCGGTGTTAGCAAACAGAACTCTCGGAACCCTTCCCAGTCTGCCTGCCAGCAACAAGCAAGTCAGCATTTTGCAAACCCTTCCAGTCAAGAAGAGAACTGCGAAGTGGTGGGGACCACACCAACAGTCCTGGAATCCAACTGGGATGTAGCAGACCATGACTATACCAAAGGAAGTCACACGAAGAACGAATTGAGCCTGAGCCTTACACCTGCTGAGGATGACCTTATTACACAACTGACTAAAGCCATGGACCAGGTTCCCGAAATCAGCGTGAAGGACACATCACCAGAAGGCGTCACCATTTCGGTAGATGACGTAGCACCTCAGACAGACAACCTCGCTACACCTGACATTTTAAAGGAACTTCTGGATGGCTGGTTTGAGAGTAACATTGAAACACAGGAAGTCAGTCAGGGTGCCAGTCAGGAGCTGAACACTACACCAGTGAAGGAGGACCTCCAACTCTCAAATGAGAGAGCAGCATCACCCATCACCAAGGAACAGATCCTGGATTTCCTGCAAGACAAGGTGCAGAGTCCCAGTCATGGGTCGTCCACAGAGTCAGAGTCTGGTTATGATTCCGTCACATCTCCAAGGTCCTTGGGGTCGCCAGAGATGATTGACCTGACGTCCCCAAGGCCTTTGGGGTCGCCTGATTCTCTTGATCAGGACATGGAACTGGACGACTCTTTCAGTGAATTATTCCCATCACTGTTTTAGCTTGTTCAGTATTTAAAAGCACCTTGTACCTGTGTTTAATATAAGAATGTGTACATTAGTCAGTTGAATATTAAGGTTGTAAATAGTATTTGTAAGGCTTATGCTTAAGGTTTGAAGTGTGATTGCTATTAAAAGAAATATTTTCATAACACTTTAATTATCCTGAACTTGCTTAATGATAGCAGTAATTGGGATGAAGATTACTTCTATCTAGAAAGTTGGCCCCCCCGTCCCCTAGGAATACTTCAAAAACAATTTAGAGTACATATTTTATTTACAGTGGTAATATGGCTACTGGAAAACTAATTTCACATTTACTTCCCATACATCTGAATATTTGCATCTTATAACTGAATATGCAACCCTTAACAAGACAAGTACATTATTCTATAGTTTTCTACCCTCACAATGGGGAAATAAAGTGTTCAAGCATGTCCAGTTCAGCAGTCCTGATCAGTGGACATGCATAAGACATGTCAAAGATGGACATATTCCAAGCTAAACAATAGTGGTTTCACCTACAAATTTATTGTTTTGCCGATAGATTGGCTATCTCAGATATAACATCTTTGGTACAGTGATCATGCCCTTGCCTCTGGACACATGTTTTGACACTGATTCTATAAATGCAATGTATGAAAAGAAAAAAACAAAAACACATCCCTTTGTTCAAGGCAGAAAACTAAGGAGATCAACTGGTGCGATGACCAGGATATTCAAGGAAGGGTTACATAAGCAATAATAATAATAATAAAAAAATAACAGTAAACCCTAATAAATGCTGAGTAGTGTAAACAAGTGTCCACTGATTTTCGAAAATGCAATTTATTGAGTAGGTTACTTTTACAAAATACTTACTAAACCCTTCCATATATTGCCATTATTTAAGATGAATTATTACTACCCCCAAAAAGAATATCTTATAATATATGTAAATATGTATTTGTGAAGGATAGCAAAGTCAAGAACACTATTATCAGTACATTCACTCAAGATGAAGCATATTTATAAATGAAAAGAAATCCGCCATATACTTGTAAATTCATGTTACAATCTTATGTCTTTTGTTCGAGTTAAAATCAATTAAAAAAATAATTTTATGGAATAGCACACATTTAGGTGGGTACATGTACTAAATGTTATAATTGTTGTACAAAGAGAAAATGTGAACTTTCACCATTATGTTTTGCTGATACAGCATATTATGAATATCTTGAGAATTCTGATCCCTAATAACACCATCTTAATTCTTTTGCTGCAATACCTTACTGGTTAATATTAGAAGCAATACACAGACTAAAATGATAACTATTTAAAATCCTCCAAATATATCCTTGTACTTTCTGTTTTAAGTCCCTAGAGAAGAGCAATTATTTCCTACAGACTGGGATGATAAAAAAGTAAATTGAAAAATAAAAAATTTCCGCAATAATTTCCTAAAACCCAAAAGCCTAAAAGAGAACGCGCATCTACGTCTTCAGTCCCATCATTTCCGTCTCGAGGACCTCGAGAGTCGGGACGAGTTTTCGGAGAGGGGCTTCACATGGGACATTCTTCCCGACTTCCTCTTGGGCGGAGTCGAGACCTTGCCGTTGTCTTCGTCCGAGTCGGTGCTGATGGTGACTTTCTTCTTGTGCGGTTTCTCCATGTTGCCTGACCGTCTTGTCATTCTCTGATTTTCTGCAAGGCAAAGGGCGTAACCTTGACATACATCTGATTATATCTTGGTCTGTAATTTGTCTAATCTTCTCACAATGTCTAGGCCATGGAAAACATGATTATTTTGTTTCACTAGTTTATTGTAGATGGTAATATTTACTCTTAAAATCAAATAATACAAAACTGTGAAAAATCATATCTTTTGACACAATTGATAAAGCTTTGTGTACTACCAGTATGTATTCTGTTTATCAAGGCACAACATACACTGTACCCAAATTTAGTGAACATTTACTCCAATATATATCACTACCTTTTCCTCTACTTAAGGCTTCCTACAATGAATTTATGGTTCATGAAAATACAACAGACATGAAGGCAGCACTGACTGTTTTGCAATACTTCCAATGGAAAACTTACCCTTATTCTGACGGTGAGCTGGGTGTAACTGTGAGCGAGTTTCCTCTGCCTCTTCCTCCTCCTCCTCCTCCTCCTCTTCTTCCTCTTCAGTTTTTGTTTCATCTTCGCTGGAACTCTCTTTGCGTCTTCTGCCTCTTATTCTGCCCTTGGTTGCTTTCTCTGTTTATGCAAGAAAATGGAAGATATTAGGTTCTTAAGTAAATAACTTTTATCCTGACAATATATATATATAAACTGCTTTACTTGACTGCAGGTGCTGATAAAAATTTAATGCTAGTTAACTCATATCAACGGTCATCATAGCATACTCAGGTGTTTCTGAGTCACATCTAAATCACTTTCACCTAATATCAAAATTCAGATTACTAATTAACCTTGTACTTATTTATCAATTTCTTATTCTGCAAACCAACCAACCAACACCCTGGTAGGGAAAAAAAAAGAAAGGAAAAGAAGAAGAAGAAGAAAAAGGTCCATACCTGAATTTTTCACGTTTTTCGCCTTCGTCTTCGCACTGGCTGCTTTGTTGAGGACATTCTCGTCTTCCACGCCCTTCTCGTGGCTCTCCTGCATCCTGCTCTCCAACTCCTCGATCAGGACTTTCACCTCTGGCTTGACCAGTTTGCGGGCACTGGCAAGGATGCCCAGGAAGAACTCGTACACTTCTGGCTCGTACAGCTTGTCGGCATAGCACGAGAAGTTCTCGCTCAGCTTTCTGATGCTCTTCTCACTGAAAAGGAATTGTATTTGTTTATTTTAGTGATACAGCCCAGACTTTTGAAATTAAATTTGTAGAGTATATTTTCAATATATATTACCAATTTATATATATATATATTTTTTTTTATCTTTCTATATGCATTTGGTGTAGTAATACAAAAACAAATCAATCAATAAATATTCAGAATTTGTTTTCAAATTGCTGTGGATTTTCATGAAGATGAAAATAATAATAATATTAATAACAACAACAATGAGTGGATTTTCATGAAGATGAAAATAATAATAATAATAATAATGATAACAACAATAATAACAGCAACAATGATGACGATAACAACAACTAAAACAAAAATAATAATAATATCAGGCCCATAAATACAATAACAAAAAATATATAATAATAATAATAATAAGTCAATATGCAAAACACCACTTCAACCCACTTGTATGTGAACAGTGACAGGCAGTAGGAAATATCTCTCCACTGTCTTGTGGTGACGGTTGCTTGGAAGCGATGACAAAGCTTCTCCACTAATGTTTCCAGCTGTTTGTCCTTTTGTACCAAGTTCAGTATGTGCCTAGAGAAAAAAATATTTACATATTAGAAACAACAGGAAGCGCACACAGTTCTGACTTAACTGAAACTGCCCAGAATAAGGCCATTATTCTTTTGGTATCTATGAAATATTGCATTGTATGGGTTGAGGACAAGAATCTCCCAAATATGGAAAGTGTAAAATTAGATCATATTAAAAGATTCCACATTTTCATAAAGGAACGTGACTGAAAAAAAAGGGGCCAAAAACGTGATTTTTGGGAAATCTGGGAGATATTTGAGAACTTGCAGCCTTCTAAATACTCTTCAAGACTAGCTAAGCTAATTCTTCAGGAAATTTACTTTTTATGGATGGGTGAAGAAGAAGAAGAAGGATACAAGATTGAACATCTCTAGCTCAAAATAATTCTAAGTATAAAATCTCTTTGACATTCACAATAGGTAAAACTTCAGCTCCAGTTTTGCAAGGTCAGGGTGCTTCAGTGTGCAGCTCTACCATGGACTACTGTTTGCTCATGGCTAAGTTCCTAAGGAATCATGCCAGACACCAAAAAGTGGGCTTGTAATATAATTAGAAGTCATCCAAGTCAATGACTGATGTGACAAGATGTTATACAGTGTTAATTGATTAAAGAATATTGTTTACACCTTACTAATCACACATTTTTAGGAAATTCTCTATATCATTACTGCAATTTCAGAACTGTTTATATAATTACCCGATGATTGTTCTGTAGCGTTTCTCTTCGATTCCTAGTTCCGTGTCAGACAAGCGCGAGATGATGTCAGGGAGAACATTATACAAGGCATTGCCCTTCCTGGCAAGCTCACTGAAGAAAAGTTTTGCCAAACCTGAAAACAGATCAGCAATTCAGAATAATCATATCTAATAACAGAGATAAATAAAACTTTCCCTTTTAATGAATGACAATCTCTGCATGCACTTTTCATAAGGACTTACACACAAATTCAGTCTCACACTATTTCCACGCCATAAAGCCAAACACCAACCCACCTGATATCCGTGGGTCGTCATCAGTGATGCAGAGAGCAATGTCAGATATCTGTCCTTTAACCTTGACCATATCATTAAGGATGAGATGGGTGAGGATCGTCAGGGTGTTCTGTCGCACTTTTGGGGAACTGTCTCTTAATCTGCGATCGGAAATGTAGGTATGAACTATATGAAGGCAGCTTAAACAAAAAATTACACAGGTCATTTATGTTTTTCTTAAATCTGATACTGAAGTAGATCTCAGGGGAAAGTAAGAAAGAGACCAGACCTGGCATAGACACGTGGGGTCCAAGGCTCTAGCTGGTTCGGGAACCGGAAGGACAAGTCTCCCAGGGCAATGACTATGTTGGCACGTATCGCATCATCTTCTGACTTCTCCAAGATGGTGAACAGGAGCTGGAAGAAGGAATGTAGGCTTATAAAACAGGGAGGGACTCTTAACTCTAGTTTGCTTTATCTATTCATGATCAAGGAATCTGTAGCTTGTCCTAAAGTGACTGATAACTGCATAATTTTTGTCTGTAAAATTTTCTATACATTGTATGCTTTGCTATATACAGCATTAGTACCAAAAAGGAAAAAAATCTTAATAGCAGCTACCTAGTGATTACGTATTCACATTGTACACATCCTGTAAACAGCCTTGAAAAATGAAGACACCGAAACCTCACCTGCAGATTATCTTCGCATAAGTCTGAAGATATCATCATGAACTTGGCCAGGGCTAGGGTTGAAGCCGTCCGGAGCTCTGCATCTGCGTACTTTGCTGGGTTGGTGCATACAGCCCAAATAAGTGGCCTGGGAATGATACAAAAAAATTTCATATATACAGCCAAGGCACTTCACCTCATATAATTTACAAAGTTAAGTTACATATCCTTTTACTTATCAATATAATTTAACCTATAGATTATTATGATAATTAAAAGAACGTTTCCACATATTTTTCTACTGGCAATGTTTTACTTGTCAAGAGGATGTGGTAGTTAATAATAATAATATTAATAATAATAATAACAATAATAATAATAATGAACCATATTCATGTTGACAAATGTGGAAAAGGTATGAATGAAAATTAACATCTTCCCAATACAAGAGATATATTTGCCTGGATTTGAAATACATAGTATTTCTGATGAAGATATAATGGAAACCTGTCAAATACATCTCTTGCATTGTGAAAATATTCTCATGAAAATATCTCATTCATACCTTTTCTACAATAATAATAATAACAATAAAAAAACAATAATAATAGAAATAATAATAATATCAATAACAGCAATAGCAATCTGCCAAGGAATAACTTATAAAGAAAACCCTCAAATAAAACTCCGTATTTAAATTCATAATCATTCTTTTCTCAGCAATTCCTTACTTGACGAGAGTGAGGAGGTTATCAGCCTTAACGATCTCTGTATCGCAGATGGAGCGGATGTACTCTGCCTCCATGTCGTCTGCCACTGCCCCCGTCAGGCCCATCTCCTCGTCAATGTCTCCATCTTGGGATCCCTGGGAGATGGGAAGATAGGAACTTGATGAAAGTTCTTAAAAATGTGATACTAGAGTACAGATCAGAAAATCATCTGAATAATAATAATAATAATAATGATAATAATAATAATAAGAGAAAACAATAATAATAATAATAATAAGAGAAAACAATAATAATAATAATAACAGTAATAATAAAAAGAGAAAACAATAATAATAATAATATAAATAATCAAATGATAAAACCAAAGACCTCTAGACCTCACCCCTCTGATCATGGAAGCCTCACTGGCTGAGGTGGCTAGTGATTTCCTTGTGTTCCTTTTCTTCTTTTTCTTTTTCTTCTCTGTTTCCATCTCCTCTTTGAGGTAATTTCTGCGCTTCAGCTCAGAGAACACATAGGTATCGAGGTGAATCAGCTGACGCAGAGCCACTTGGCCCACAAACACGAAGAATCTTGTCAGGATGCCTACGGGGACCTTGATCTCTTCAGTCTGGGGGGATTTAGGCACATTAAACACAGGTCCTTAACAAAGGAAGCATTTTTATCAATCAAAATGATAAGTGTCCCCCCCACTCCATCCTTAAATGATGATTTTGTTTTGAGTTGCCCTTGAACATGAAAAAAAGGGGACAAAAAGAACCATTTGCTTGCAGTAATGGAAACAACTGACCTCTGGCTGAGAGCCATCACTTGCTAAGTCTGGTGCTTCTGTGTGATATGAAAGCATGATCTTGCTCATCTCTTGAAGAATCTCTCCGCAGATGAGGTCAGGATGCTCTGCTAACTGTGAAAAAATAACGTTTTCATAAAAGGGAGAAAGAGGTAGGGTGAAGGGGGATGGGGAGTGAGAAAGAGAAAATGGAAAGAAAGGAGGAAGGGAATAAAGTTGTCAAGATCAGTTGACACCCTACATGCTGGTGCCAAATGTGAGCTGTATTACATTTGGTCTCATGACTTGATACCAAAAAGGAGCATGGAAATCAGCTCCCAAATTAGATCTCTACTAAGTGGACACACAAAGAATGGAAAGGCAAAGAATTATATTAACCCAATTGGCACAGATGGCAAGAATACATGCCATGCCTACTGTAATATATGTTTATTTATTGTCTTTACATACAGATGGCTCTGTAAGTGCTTTGTCACCAAGGAGTCAGTTATTAGTCCAATCTATCTCACCTGTTTACCCTTTTCCTTGATTTTTGGAAGAATGCTTTTTATGTTATTTAATCATTTTTTATATTACCAAGACTCTAACAATAATTTAATAATCATATTATCAATTATAATAATAATAATAACAACTTATCAATATCAATACTATTAGAAACAGAAACACATTTTCCCGCCACTTCAAGGAATGGGATCAGTCACTAGGGCCCAATGATGGACTCCTTGCTGGCTGAGCACATGTGGAGCCATCTGTATGTAACAAAATTTACAAAAAAAACTACAGGGGACATTACATAAATCCATGGTGATTAGGTCAATAAAAAGTTACTTAATTAAGGCTAATCAAATTATACAAAATGGAGTGCCTAAAATTTTTGCAGCAATAATACTTGTACAATCTATAAAAAAAAAGAACACCAACAATAATTATAAAAATAGCAAAAACAATGATAATCAATCAAAATAATCATAACAACAAAAACAACAAATAGAAAGTTCTCCCACCAAGCCCTCCCTCATAAAACACACACTTTGCACCGACTTACCGAATAAATCAGACTAACGGCCTCAACAGCCATGGGAGAATACTGACGATCTTCAAGGATATTCAGACCTTCCAGCAAGATCTTGGTAAGGCGCTCGAAGATCTCGTGGTCTCGGTCAAACCTTGATAGGGGATGAGAGAGAGAAAGAGAGATTTTAGATCTAGATGAAAAGCATTACAAGTATGTGCCTTCTGTGAATTCTTATTATTCTTATTACTATTACAAAGTCATCAATATGGCGCTCTTTCAGTACTGTGACATTAAAAAAAAAATTAATTCTGGTGTAGTAGCTAACATCATAACTACCATTCTTATAAACAGTAAAACAAGAACAAGAGCATAAAGTCTAGACAGATAATTTAACAAAATCAAATAAGCAAAACTGTCAATCTTCTTAAATTCACTGAGGTAATAACGAAATGACGTTCATTTATTGTACCTGTTGGGTGGATTAGGGTCATCCGTTTTTGGCTTGGTTGTGGATAGCTTCAGCAAGGCCGTGCAGGTTTCCTTGACGAGAGTGAAGTTGCGCAGGCCTCTCTCACCCAGGCCGGAGTTCACCAGGACACCAATGTTGCTCGAGACAATGTGTGCTTCTGAGCTGGGAGGGAGGGGGGGAGGAAATAGTTGAAGCCATCTCTCAATAAGAAGAGGAAAGGAAGCAGAGAAAAAGAAAGAAAGAAAGAAAGAAAGAAAAGGAAAAACAAAACAAAAAAGAAAAAAAAGAAGAAGTAAAAAATGAAGAGATAAACAGTGAAAGAAAGAAAGAAAGAAAGAAAGAAAGAAAGAAAGAAAGAAAGAAAGAAAGAAAGAAAGAAAGAAAGAAAGAAAGAAAGAAAGAAAGAAAGAAAGAAAGAAAGAAAGAAAGAAAGAAAGAAAGAAAGAAAGAAAGAAAGAAAGAAAGAAAGAAAGAAAGAAAGAAAGAAAGAAAGAAAGAAAGAAAGAAAGAAAGAAAGAAAGAAAGAAAGAAAGAAAGAAAGAAAGAAAGAAAGAAAGAAAGAAAGAAAGAAAGAAAGAAAGAAAGAAAGAAAGAAAGAAAGAAAGAAAGAAAGAAAGAAAGAAAGAAAGAAAGAAAGAAAGAAAGAAAGAAAGAAAGAAAGAAAGAAAGAAAGAAAGAAAGAAAGAAAGAAAGAAAGAAAGAAAGAAAGAAAGAAAGAAAGAAAGAAAGAAAGAAAGAAAGAAAGAAAGAAAGAAAGAAAGAAAGAAAGAAAGAAAGAAAGAAAGAAAGAAAGAAAGAAAGAAAGAAAGAAAGAAAGAAAGAAAGAAAGAAAGAAAGAAAGAAAGAAAGAAAGAAAGAAAGAAAGAAAGAAAGAAAGAAAGAAAGAAAGAAAGAAAGAAAGAAAGAAAGAAAGAAAGAAAGAAAGAAAGAAAGAAAGAAAGAAAGAAAGAAAGAAAGAAAGAAAGAAAGAAAGAAAGAAAGAAAGAAAGAAAGAAAGAAAGAAAGAAAGAAAGAAAGAAAGAAAGAAAGAAAGAAAGAAAGAAAGAAAGAAAGAAAGAAAGAAAGAAAGAAAGAAAGAAAGAAAGAAAGAAAGAAAGAAAGAAAGAAAGAAAGAAAGAAAGAAAGAAAGAAAGAAAGAAAGAAAGAAAGAAAGAAAGAAAGAAAGAAAGAAAGAAAGAAAGAAAGAAAGAAAGAAAGAAAGAAAGAAAGAAAGAAAGAAAGAAAGAAAGAAAGAAAGAAAGAAAGAAAGAAAGAAAGAAAGAAAGAAAGAAAGAAAGAAAGAAAGAAAGAAAGAAAGAAAGAAAGAAAGAAAGAAAGAAAGAAAGAAAGAAAGAAAGAAAGAAAGAAAGAAAGAAAGAAAGAAAGAAAGAAAGAAAGAAAGAAAGAAAGAAAGAAAGAAAGAAAGAAAGAAAGAAAGAAAGAAAGAAAGAAAGAAAGAAAGAAAGAAAGAAAGAAAGAAAGAAAGAAAGAAAGAAAGAAAGAAAGAAAGAAAGAAAGAAAGAAAGAAAGAAAGAAAGAAAGAAAGAAAGAAAGAAAGAAAGAAAGAAAGAAAGAAAGAAAGAAAGAAAGAAAGAAAGAAAGAAAGAAAGAAAGAAAGAAAGAAAGAAAGAAAGAAAGAAAGAAAGAAAGAAAGAAAGAAAGAAAGAAAGAAAGAAAGAAAGAAAGAAAGAAAGAAAGAAAGAAAGAAAGAAAGAAAGAAAGAAAGAAAGAAAGAAAGAAAGAAAGAAAGAAAGAAAGAAAGAAAGAAAGAAAGAAAGAAAGAAAGAAAGAAAGAAAGAAAGAAAGAAAGAAAGAAAGAAAGAAAGAAAGAAAGAAAGAAAGAAAGAAAGAAAGAAAGAAAGAAAGAAAGAAAGAAAGAAAGAAAGAAAGAAAGAAAGAAAGAAAGAAAGAGAGAAAGAAAGAAAGAAAGAAAGAAAGAAAGAAAGAAAGAAAGAAAGAAAGAAAGAAAGAAAGAAAGAAAGAAAGAAAGAAAGAAAGAAAGAAAGAAAGAAAGAAAGAAAGAAAGAAAGAAAGAAAAGGAAAAACAAAACAAAAAAGAAAAAAAAAAAAAAAAAAAAAAAAAAAAAAAAAAAAAAAAAAAAAAAAAAAAAAAAAAAAAAAAAAAAAAAAAAAAAAAAAGAAAAGGAAAAACAAAACAAAAAAGAAAATGAAAAAGAAAAAAGAAAAAAAAGAAGTAAAAAATGAAGAGATAAACAGTGAAAGAAAGAAGAAAACACATTCATAACATATATATAACACAACACAGTAATGCATTATTAAGCTCCTTACTTGGCACACATGGCGAGGAGAATGAGGCCTGCCAGTGACTCATCGTCTGTGGTGTCAGGCAGGGTCTTGGTGAAGCGTTCCCAAAGCAAGGTTAGGCACTGCTTAGTAATGTCACCTAAAAGATAGACCATCAGGGAATGAGGTAAGGCTGTAAGTGTGTGAAATATAAAGAAAAATGTTGGATATAAATTAGGGATCATTCTGATTTACAGATTTCACATCAAAGAAGAAAAATGAACAAGAAAAAGAAAACCAGGATAAGGAAAAACAAGAAACAGTATGCTTACTTCAACAGATCTATTTCAACTAGGTTTGGCATCGGCATTTTCATCAGCATTGAATTCCCTCTGTCTTAAGTGATATAAACAATGAGACTAAATTAGATCCAACCAACAAAAGAATATCCAATATCATAGGAGCAATAAAATAAAATACAATAAAATTGATCCCAATTAGAAAATATTGTTTACTGACAGAATTACAGACCTGTTACGAAGAACTGTACTGCTTCTAACACATCTGATACATGTTTGCTGCTCAGAAGCTGGCAGAGAACTGGCAAGCCTTTGTTGAACAGTTTAGCAAAACAAACAGAATCCTGTTGAATGAAAGTATTTCGTCTTAGCTATATATATACAAAAAAATCATAAAACAAGCAAATAAATATATAAAAACAAACAAGTAAATAAATAAATAAAATAAAAATAAAAATAAATTAATCTTAATACAAAAACACTTCTGAAAAAAAAAAAAAATAAAATAAAATAAATAAATAAATAAATAAAATCCTTCTAAACTCACTTCTTCACTAAAACATAACATCAACAGCTCCCACACAACACTACTAATCCCGAGCACAGGCCGCAAGACCCGAGGGCACCCACCTTCAAGTAGTTGACCAAGAGCTTCTGCTTGGTCACCTCCGCCTGGGCCTCCTTCTCTGCCCTCATCTCCTCTGTCTCCTCTTTCTCCTCCTCTTCCTCCTCGGCCTTCTTATCCTCCTCCATCTTCTCCTCCTCATTTGTCTGGCCTTTCCTCTCCTCCATCTCCTTGGCCGACAGGAAGATCCGCTCCAGCACGACCAGGTGGCGGATCTGGTGGTCTGTCAGCTCCTCGTCCTTGCTCAGCTTTCTGTAGGCCTTGGAGGGATGGATCTCGGGGTCATAACTGGAAAAGGGATGAGAGGATTTAGGGCTTTGCATGTCTAAGGAAAATGGGAATGGAAGAGAGAGTGAGGGGAGACTTTAATTTATGGAATGGTGAATGAGACAGAGAGAGAGAGAGAGAGAGAGAGAGAGAGAGAGAGAAATTTGGAAGAGGAGGGATAAGAGGAAAAGAAGAGAAGGGGAAGAAAAGGAAAGAAAAGAAGAGAAAGATGAGGGGGAGGACTAAAAGGCTTTGTTCCACTCTCTCCCCTCCTCTCAAAAAAATTATCATCCTCCTCATCCAATTATTCAATGGTTGGCCCCTTAGATTAGAGAATCATCAGTTTCTTTTCCTCTCTTAAATGGGCCAAATTGGGTAACATTCCCCCACTCACTCTTAGAAAACCCTTGAAATTACACACCATTTTCACATCTCAAAAAGAATAGAGGACCAATGTCAGATAACAAACACAAACAAACAAAACCAAAAACACTCTCCCTCCAAAGAACAAATGGCCTACCCAAACACTTCAGCCCCATGGAACATTTCCAGGGCACACTCCAGCAGTTTGACAGCTCTTCTGATCTTGCTGGAGTTCAAAGCCTCTGCAATCTCCAAAACTGCATCATTTAGTGAGGTATCTTCCTCTAAGGAGTCTTCACCATCATCGTCGTCATCAGTGCCACCTGTGATATGTAAAGGAAGTGTTATTATGACGCCTGCAAAGTTGTTCCATCCCCACTGTATAATACCTATTTATGTGTTTTGATTTAGTTTTTTTCTATCTTTATTTATTTTATTCTATTTTATTTTTTGTATATTCTTAGCATTGTACATTTGCAAAGACACCCAATTTAATATTAATTCCACAAAACATTCACACTTTAAAAACAAAAGAGAGAGAGAGAGAGAAAGACAGAGAGAGGGGGGAAGAGGGAGAGAGAAAAAGAAAGAGAGAGAGACAGAGAGAGAGAGAAACATACCTTCATCAACAACTTCCAAAACAATGGCGACCACCTCAGGCAACATGGCTACCCACAGCTCCCTTCCAGTGACGGTCTTTTCTACCTGCGGTTTATCTTCCTCTTCTGCTGACAAGTCCAAAGCAGCCTTAGGGTCCATTTCCTTTAGTTTCTTGAGCTCTTCTTCATATTGGCCTTCCAGTTCTTCCAGGGGGAGCTGTATGCAATGCAGGTATTAAACCAGATTTCCAATTAAGAGCAGAACAGAAAAAATATATAATAATAATAATAATAATAATAATAATAATAATAATAATAATAATAATAATAATAACAGCAACAATAACCTCCAACAACATCACTGTATAAAAAAAAAAAAAAAAAAAAAAAAAAAAAAAAAAAAAAAAAAAAAAATATATATATATATATATATATATATATATATATATATATATATATATATATATATATATATATATATATAAATAGAAAAAAAAAAGAAAGAAAAAAGAAAAAGTCTGTAGAAGAAATTACCACACTCCCTCCTCACCTTAGCTGCAAAGGGGTTGCCCTTCAGGAATGCAGTCAGCAACTGAACTGCGCTCTTCCTCACATGCGATGATTTGTCCTTCAGGCGCCCTAGGGTAAGTTTCAGGACCTGCTGCTGTCTGCGCAGGGGCACGGCCTTCTCACTCACAAGGTCGTTCCAGATGTGCAAGACCTGGGGGAGAGGAAGGAGATAATTTTCTATTGGACTAGTGGCAAAGGGATTCAAGAATGATGAGGGTTATATGACAGCTTGGTAAGCCATTTCTACTTATGGCTGACCAAAGGAGGCAAAGGCAAGGGAAAAAAGAAAAGAAAAGAAAAACAGAAAAACAAAAGTTTGTTACATATCAATGCTAAATTAAATCTCAAAAGTAAAATAGAGGGAGTAACCAGGAGAGAGCAAATGGGGGGAAATAAAGAGAAGGAGTAAATAAGAAAAGAAAAAAGGAGTATAGAAAAAGAAAAAAGGAGATTACAGAAAAAGAAAAAAATAGAGGAATGAAGAGAAAGGAAAGAAGGCAAGCAAGAGAATAACAAAACAACAAAGAAACCAGGAAAACATAGAAAAAGAAAAAGGAGAGCAAACAAGCAAGAAAAAAGTTAAGCATGCCAGATATCCATAGTGAAAAAGCAAGAAAAGAATAACAACAAAACGAAGAGAGCAAAAAAAGAAAACCTAATAAATATGGACCAAGAAACAAAACAGAAAATCAGGCAACCCTTACCTTACTGCGAACAAAGGCATGAATGTCGTGAATGTGGTCCTCAAGGTGGTCAAGGCACTGATCGCGCAGGTCTCGGCTCTTGGGGTCCAGCTGCTCACCGCTCAGGACCTTCAACACAATGGAACCCAGGATGGACAGCACGCAGTTCCTCATGCCGGATGCCTGTGAAAAAATAGGTGAGTGAATGAATGAAGAGTAATGACAATAATGATAATGAGTTACTTTACTGGAGCTTGTAGTGTATAATATACTTATAAGATAAACAGCAATTAATATTAATTTCTATCTTCTCGAAAAGATGTGGTCTAAGTATTGATCATCCATAATAGTGTTAAGTATCTAAACTCTTTAAATGGAACAAGTAAACCATCAGGGTGAAAGAAAGAAAAAAAAGGAAAGAAAAAGAAAGAAAGAAAGGAAGGAAAAAAAAAAAAAAAAAGACCATAATCACTAGACATTTTTGGCCAAAAATAAAAATAAAGTAAAATAAAAAGTAAAGAAACTCATAACCACACATCAGAAACTTTGAACAAAGCCTCCCCTTCCTCACCTCCTCGTGCAGGAAGTTAACGAGCAGGCTGAGCGAGGGCAGCATGACCTGGGGGCACTTCTCCGAGACCTCCACCAGGAACTGGGAGAAGTTACGCAAGCCCGAAGTATCCTTCATGAGGTCTCGTGCGTCCACCTTCGCGATCTCCCTCACCATCTCCGACACGACAGAAGTGATGCCAAACGACTCGATCAGAAGGATTACACCCTGGGCGCATGGGACAACCATGTGCTCGAAGTGCTGCAGGAGCTGTGAGGAAACGTAGAAATAAACAGATTATTAGTGATGAACGAAGAGGCACTTTGAACGTGTTGTTTCTCTTACTACTGGTCATGAGCTTTTATGGTGAAGGAAGAGTAATTGAGAAGAAAAGCAAAACCTCAAGATCATTAAATAAAACTCAATAAGAAACACGCCTGCAGAATCAACCTTCTAGAGTTCCAACAGTCTTCAGAATAAAATCTACGAAACGCACAAATGCTCCCTAATTCCCCAATTTCTGGACTAACCTGCATGAGCTTTAGGGAACAAGCGAGACCATGGTTGAACTTCTTGACGAGTGTGCCGATAATCTGGAATATTGAGTCTCGTGTCGGTTTGGTCCTTGCCAAGTTCATGGTGGGAGACTCCAGAATCTTGTAGCAACAGTTGGCTATGAGGCTGTAAAAGGAGTGTGGAAATTAACACGTGGCTGGATAACCTCGTTTAGTAATTAGGAAACAGTGTTATTCCATATTCAGTACTTTGAGGAATTTACAGTTTAGTTACAAGCCTTAACATAGAGGGAATGATGTCTCAATTATAAAAGATACCTCATATAAGAGCTATTGCAAAATAAAAGGATTCCATAAATGACAGTTTAACTCCTTGCAAAATACAATCAAAGGATGAAAGGTAGAGACAGCAAACTGATATGTTCTCTCTTAAACTGTCACTACTTTTATGCCAGGACACCTTTACATGCAACACTTAAAAAAGTATATGTTGACATCTAAACTCCTTTTCCTGCAACTAGTTTCCTCATTTCTTAACTAATCTAACAGTTTAAGAACAACCAAAACTAATAAATACTTTAAAGTTGCTTATCATTATATACTGCTTACCATTTCCTTATGCTCATGTCAGACTGCAAGAGTCATTTTAGATTTAGTTGCTGAAGAACATTCTTTTTTATATAATCTTTAAAAAATGTATATCCACAAATTTTATATACCATAACACACAATACACAAAGAGATCACCATTACATAATCTTAAATGTATAATTTCAAAGGACAAGTACCTCTCTGAACACCATACAATCATCATCATCATCATAATAATATCAACAATAAAAATCAAAGTAAATGATCTTTCTTGCTGCTGACCCCAGACTTACTTGACAAAATCCTCCTCCATAATGGGTGGCTCCCACAGGCGGTGCAGAGGGTGCTGCAGGACAGAGAACAGCTGGACCAGCATGCGGTTCCTCTCCTCCTCCCAGTCCGTCCCGTCATCGGACTTCCTTGCCGACTTCTTCCTTCCTTGCTGGGGTGGGGAAGGTGGTGGTGAAAATTAGGAACAACAAAAATAACCATAATAAATATCATGACTTACATAAATAATAATAATAAATATCATGAGTTACAAAAATAACAATAATAAATATCATGAGTTACAAAAATAACAATAACTGTCTTTGCAACAATAAAATTGCGTGAATAAACAAATGAAAAACTTTTGCAACCTCCCCAAACTACCTGTCATAATAATCCAACAACGCATTCCTCAACTCACCTTCCCTAAAACCAGGGTGTCAGTGGAGGGTTTGTTGTACTCGTTCTCAAAGGATTCAGTGAGGTTGCAGGCAATGTACGTGGTCATCTTGAGAACATTGAGCCACTGATGCCGTTCCTTGGCGCTCATGTCCCCCTCATCCAGAAGCAGCGCCAATTCAGCTGTCACCTTGGACATTGCTGTAAAGTTAAAGGGTAGTAGGTAATTCCCCCATATTCATTGTATTTTACCCACCTTTTTTCTACATCAAAAAATATGCATAATTTAAAAGAGAGGACTGAAAATGAGAATGACAACCTGCAACATATCCTTGAATACTGTGTTCTTCTCTCTCCCCTTTTTCCTTTCATTCTCTTTTTTTCTCTTTCCCTTTCCCCTCCTCCTCTTCTCCTCTACTCTTTCCCTTCCCTCTCCTCTCCTTTTCCACTTTCCCTTCAATTTTTTCTTCTCTTTCCCTTTCCCTTCTCTCTCCTCTCCTTTTCCCCTTTCCCTTCTCTCCTCTTCTCTTCTCTTTCCCTTTCCCTTCTCTCTCCTCTCCTCTTCCCCTTCCCTTTCTCTCTCCTCTCCTCTTCTCTTCCACCTTCCCTTCTCTTTCCCTTCTCTCTCCTCTCCTCTTTCCCCTTCCCTTCCTTCTCCTTCCCACCTCCCTACCTTTCAGGAGTAGCTCCCACGTGCGCTGCCGAAACTCTCCGTCCACGCTGCCAAATCCACCCAGGACGCTATAAAGCACGTCAAAGTTCTGCGCCTTGAGGATGAAGTGCGGGCCATCTTGACGGAAGGCCACTTGCGCTTCTGGAATGGGAATGGAGGAGGGCGGGGATTAGCACGTACAAAAGCCAAAGAATTCTGTAAGATAGGTTAATTTGTTAAGTCTTAATGAGTGTCTGTTTCTGCCCTCAACATGGGCACTAAAAAAATCAATAAGGAAAAATCAACTTAAAAATTAAACAAGGAGATAATGATGATGTTAATGCTAATACCCCTACGACCACCTCACCCTGAATCTTCTTAGGGATCTCCTTGCTCGTGGAGATGTTGTACACGACGTACTGCCGCGTGCTGGTCGACTCCTGCAAGGCATCGAGGCTCAGGGGGATCACGAAGTCGAAGGTATCCATCTGCGGAGGAAAAGGCCCTGGGGTTTAGCTGCGACGGGAAAGGAGTCAAAATACCTTTGGGAATATCTATGAGCTGGAGAGAGAGAGAGAAAAAAAAAAAAAAACGATAAGGGGAAATCGTGAAAATGATCATATGTTTATAATGTTCATTTGGTTTATGGAAATTCTTTTTTCTTTTATCATTCTTATGTATAGGTGTTTATAAAATCACCCGGATGAAAAGATAGACGTTGTAAAAGAGGAGAAATTAAATCAAACATATATTCATCTTTCAGTCCAATATTTGAAAGAAAACAACACTAAAAAAGGTTAAAATATCTGTCCCTATTACATTTTTAATAAAGACTTCCTTTTAAACCCTCTTACAACCATTGTTAATAGCCAGCCTTTACCTTTTAATATTACATTATAGATGATAGACTCTGTAAAAAGGATTATATATATTGATATGTCAAACTAATGGAAAACATTGATAAAAATAACTCAAATAAAATGTGACAAAATAACAAAAAAACAGCAATAAATAAGGAAAATAATCTATACATAGGAAAATCATGCACATATTTATGTTTATGATAAAAAAATCAAATTTAATTGGAAAAAATAAGCAATTCTAACATTACAATTAGACACAGAATAACCAAAAGACTTGAAAACCACTGAAAATATACAAATATAAAATCAGCAAGTAATAATCACCAGAATTATATAAATATACAATAAAACGACCAATAATCTACAGAAAACAAAGAAAACACACAAAAAATAAACTACAAAAAACAGAAACATATAAAATAAATAACAAATAACAAACAGAAACACACAAATAAACAAATAACAAAAAAAAAAATTAACAAACACATCATTACAACCTATATATGTATCGATACGACGATGGGAGTGGCACTATTTTCTCAATTCCACTAACAATTAACCCTTTTTTCCCCAAGCACATCGACGAATACATAATCTTCATGGTCGATTCCTCCTCCGAACTGTCACTTTTAGAAGATTTTTCGCCGAGTTTATTAAAAAGAAAATCCATTTTTATTAATGTGTCAAATCGCCTCCGAGAGGAATCCCGCCCCGACCTTCAAATCACCCCACATTTCCGGCCGTAAATACGCTTTCGGGCCCTATTTACGCCTCTCATTAATGGCGCGATGGTTTAATTGGGTGATTTTCGAGGAAGAATTGTGGAATAAGTCGTGTACTTACGTTTTTTTAGCGTATTTTTCACCCCATGAAGGCCCGTGGGGGAGGATTTCCCGCGCGAACGATTGTTTACAGTTGGGTTCAAACTTGCGTCACCAAGCGCCGGCCAATCAGGAACCGGGATTCGCGGAGGGGCAGCCAATCAGAATTCGGGATAGGATGACGGCTGGCCAATCAAAATGCGGGATACGTCTGATATTTATTTTACCGGAAAATCGTGAATTATCGAGCGCTGATCAAGGGGGAAGTGAATCAAATAGGATGAAGATATTAGGGAAGGGGCATTCGACAAGCACCGATCTATTAAAGAGTCATATTTAGCGAATATTTGACCAATATAAAAATCGGCTATTATCGTACACAGCCAGCGCAATTTGTTGGTGCTGCCATCTAGCAGGTGATCATCAAAGAAAACGTGATAATAAATGTATGCATCATAGAAAACCTAAAGAATTAAGGATAAACATAAGTAAATATTTAGCCTGAATATTTGATGAGGCTGCGTATTTGATTTTCTCTAAATATCAACTGTTTCATCTTGTAAGTGTGAAATGAAATGTCTCAACAAGCGGTTCAATCATGAAGAAAATTCTTAAAGCCAGGTCATCAAGGTCATCAAATGGAGAGAGAAAAAGAGAGAGAGAGAGAGAGAGAGAGAGAGAGAGAGAGAGAGAGAGAGAGAGAGAGAGAGAGAGAGAGAGAGAGAGAGAGAGAGAGAGAGAGAGAGAGAGAGAGAGAGAGAGAGAGAGAGAGAGAGAGAGAGAGAGAGAGAGAGAGAGAGAGAGAGAGAGAGAGAGAGAGAGAGAGAGAGAGAGAGAGAGGGAGGGAGGGAGGGAGGGAGGGAGGGAGGGAGGGAGGGAGAGAGAGGGGGGGAGAGAGAGAGAAAGAGAGAGAGAGAGAGAGAGAGAGAGAGAGAGAGAGAGAGAGAGAGAGAGAGAGAGAGAGAGAGAGAGAGAGAGAGAGAGAGAGAGAGAGAGAGAGAGAGAGAGAGAGAGAAGACAAAAAAAAACTTTTATATCACTAATCATATCAATGACAAGACCACTGCCTTTAACAAAATTAATGTAATCAATATGTGCTGGTCTCTGGACAGTGCTGTTTGATCGATAGATGCAGGATCGAGCAACAAAGTAAGTAATATGTAATATTATGCGACTTGGGTGCCTTGCACATTTTGCAATGATGATATGCGATTGGATTTGCCTCCAAAATTGCATCCTGTACATAATATATAGTGTACTGATGTCCTCTGCGTAGCCTGGTTAGTGTAACCTGCTCTCTCCGAGACATTCTTTTATAGACTTTATATGGTTTGTCCATATCAGATGTCCCTGCAATATTTTCATAATGCCAGATAGTACCATGTCCATTTTTCTTCATTTTTTCGGTGGTCCATACCTGGCCCTCATAATCTCGAAGACAGCGGAAAACAGTTTTTTTTTTTTTTTTTGAGAGATAATGGTACTGCATAGGTTCTTGAAGGGAGAGTGCTAGTTTTGCTAACTGACCCATCTTGTCACAGGTTGATATTCCTATATGAGAGGGTATCCAGTATAGTGACACTTGTATACCCTGCTCTGATAGGCTAGAAATTTGGTGTAGTATATTCCTAGTTACCGTGTTTCCTGGACTAAATGCAGTAAGTCTACAGAGTGCACCTTGGCTGCCAGAGTAGACAGCTAGGTGTCGGTGCTGTTCACTAATTTTTTTGATGGCATGGTATATAACTTCTGACTCGGCATCACTCGTGCTTGCCCAGTTGGGAATTCGCACACTTTCCTCAAGAGAAATGTCAGGAGTTAATACACCAATCCCAGCTGCTCCGTGAGGATCAGTAGAGACATCACAGTGAATTGCAAAGGGAGGGGGGTGTACCATGAGAGGAATGGAGAATTTTATCTGCAAATTTCAGGTAATGGCCTTTTAATTCTGTTACTGAATTCGTGGATTTAGGCCCTGTTCATTTGTCAATATGAACATATTCATGTGATCTATGTCATGGTGCAGCAAGTGTTTCTTCTGGGATGTTAATAGCATCAATGTTCCACACACTGAAGCTGAGAATTTGGTAGTATCAGATTGGAGTGTCGAGTGCGCCAGGCATGCCGAACTCTGTAATTCGTCTCATTGGATAAATCAAGGCAAATTGTGGTCTGGACTGAAGCTGCGAAAATCTGGTACCGAGTATGATGTTGACCTGGGTGATACGACTATAGATAGAAGGGAGGTCTAGCTCTTTCCTCATGACAAGAACTTTAGCTGTCATTGGGCTGCCAAGAATGATTCTCATGGCTTAGTTTTGTAAGACTTCAAGGGGTTTGAGACCATTCCGTGGCAACATACTGAGAACTGGGTTCGCATAGTCTATCATGGATCTAACAAGGGATATGTATATCAACCTCAGGACACTTAGGGAGGCACCTATGTATCTGTTACTTATGTATTGTAAGGCTCTTAAACGTTACTTGATCTTTTGAACAGTATTTCGTGTGAAGCGAGAATTGAGGTGGGCATCATGATAGTGTTAGTTTTTGCAATAACCTGTCCACCTAACCTTGGAATGTATGGCAGTCTATGAGATTTGGAAATGTACTTAGTCTTGATAGGGTTGATTATGAGTCCAAGTGAAGCACACTTTTTGCTGAACCTCTGGAGAACATATTCCCTCTATCAGAGACCAGAATGAGAATGTCATCAGCATTGGATGTGATGCTGCATAGGTCTCCTAACTCACTGTTGAGCTTGCAAAGAGAGTACATAAGTATGTTAAATAATGAAGAGGACAAAACTCCACCTTATGGAGTGCCTAACTCTAGTTCGCCATAAGCACTGTAGGAGCCTTGGTGTCATACCTTTTCTCTTCTCAAAGATAAATAATCCCTTATCAATAGCAGAAGCTTGCCCTTAAATCCTAGAAGAGTTTATTCATGGATGATGAGTCGAATGATGTCATAAGTGATGCCACCACCCCAGGTGCAGAGGATTTGTTAGTCTTAATGGCTGCAAGAAATCCATGACTAAAAGTTGACACTGACAGTCAATTTAATTTTTGTGTTTCAACTTAAGGGAGCACCTGCGTATGGATAATGGAAGATTATCGAGAGAGGCATTTTCGCAGCATTTACTGAGGGGTGACAAAGCTACCCTTTCTGGATGAGTGTAGGGAGTCAAATCGTATACATTGCCTTTGATCTTGTTGATTTCGCTCCGAACATTACTCATGGGAGTCGTGGAGTCAGTCGATTCTGCCCAGACATACAATCTCTTTCCTGCTTTTGAGTTAATACCTCATTAAGCTTTTTACTAAAGAATACAAAGTCCCTAACTAAGTAAGGGTTTCTTCCCAAGTGCTTTAGCTGATTTTATGTAAACTTTATAAGCTTTCTAAGTAGCCTTATTTCAGGGTCTTTGTTCGAGTGATGTGCTCGTTTACCCCTGGAGGATGGAGACCTATGTTTGACAGGGTGTACGTGGTGTAGTTAGTTAATGATGTTACTAACTTGTTGACAGAGAGTTTCATTAAATGATCAAGGCCGGTAGGAGTAAAGTCTTCATACCAGCAGCCAATCCCTTTAATAAACTCATCGTAATGTTTAGTAGCAAGGTGATATCGAAGGCGCGGCTGGAGAGAGCTTCTTTTGCAAAGTGGGAGGGTTATACTTAATGCCCGATGATCACTGACGAAGAACGGGATGACTTTCGCAGTCCTTGGGAGTGTGTGATGACTGTATAGAGCTATGTAATCTAATTTACCACCTTTTCTAAGTGACATAGTAGGTGTATAGGGTCACTAGTATTTTGGAAGTAGTCAAAATAAACCTTACCGTTTTTGCCTATGGTGCTTCCCTCAGCGCCAAGGAGAGGTTGGCGAACATTAAAATCCCCACACAATAAGACAGTATCACTATGTGTCAGGAGACTTTGGTACCACAGCACTGTCATGTGGGTTATAAACATTAATAATGGTGAGAGAGAGAGAGAGAGAGAGAGAGAGAGAGAGAGAGAGAGAGAGAGAGAGAGAGAGAGAGAGAGAGAGAGAGAGAGAGAGAGAGAGAGAGAGAGAGAAATAGATCGATCGATAGATAGATAGATATACAGATATATAGATAGATAGATAGATAGATAGAAAGAGAGAGAGAGAGAGGGAGAGAGAGAGAGAGAGAGAGAGAGAGAGAGAGAGAGAGAGAGAGAGAGAGAGAGAGAGAGAGAGAGAGAGAGAGAGAGAGAGAGAGAGAGAGAGAGAGAGACAATAGAGATAAATATATCGATAGATAGATTTATAGATAGACAGATAGATAGCTAGATAGACAGACAGACAGACAGACAGACAGACAGATAGATAGATAGATAAATAAATAGATAGTGAGATTCATGTGAAGAAGCATTGCTTCCTTAGTCAGCATATGGCAATACGTTTCTGGGTACCTACAGATCAAACACTTACAAGCAAATACGCCCACTTACTTACAAACACACATACAACGCACAACACAACACACACAACACATACATACCCCCCCCCCACACACACACACATAACACAATGCACATATACCCCCCTCCATACACAACACACACACAAACACACACATCCCCCCCCACACACACACAACACAAACACACACATCCCCCCCCCCACACACACACAACACAAACACACACATACCCCCACACACACACACACACACAACACAACCCCCCCCCCCCACACACACACAACACAACACACACATAACCCCCCCCCCCAACACATAACACAACACACACATCCCCCCCCCCCACAAACACACATACACCCCCCCCCCCAAACACACACACACGCACACACATTTCTCCCCCAGGCTTATGTTATGCGGTTTCTCTCGGAAAACAGTTAATCCAGGATTAAGAAAAATGGAAATCCCACGGAGATATCTGCTTTAATCTTCTTCTGTCGAAAAGACACACGAAATAAAAGGATCTGAAACCTTTATTCTTATACTCGATCTTCTTCGAATTATTGTTAGTTCTTATTTCTTAAAACTTATTTTTTGTTATTTCTTAGAATTATTTTTATGGTTTTTGTTGT